TCTGAACCCTCGAAGCCTTTTGAATAGTTAAACCATCCTACTTTCTAAGCTTTGATACATATCGCAGAATCATCTTCAGCACATGCTGTCTTTGTTCATAATACGACCTCGATATTTGAGAAATTCATGTGTCATAACCATTTTTTTACAAAATAATTAAATATTATTTTAAAAAAATCGATTATGACTTTAATTTGAAAAAATTGAGATTGGGTTAATTTGAATTAAATTGAATGGAGTGGCGACTTTATATAGAGTTAGGTAGGTCGAATACTTAAAAACATCTTTTAAAACAATTTTAAGGAAAAATTATTTTTAAGATGAAAATTGGTATGTGTTTACCAAATATTTATTTTAAAAGGATTCGGGAGTCGGTTACGTGTGGGGAATGGTAAGCACCACCACAACACCCAAAAACTGGTACTGAATTGCTTACAAGTTATCGTAAATGGTGGAAATAATGAATTGAATATAAAACTAAATTATGATCCATTTATTGAGATTGATTTAATTTGCTTCAAATTATTTAATTAGGGAAAATTCTTGAATTCGAAAAGAAATCTCGAGATTAGCAATCCTCCGTCGGGAAAGTTATCTCGTTTATTTCTTTGTTTACAAGAATATTACCCCTCGATGTAAAAATACGAATCAAATATAAAATGAAGATCAACGATTTGCATAAAATAAAATAGATAGCTATTTAGAAACATTCATGACATTGTTCAACTTAAAATGAGATGAAATCGGTTTATTTCAAGATCGCATTTTGTTCGAATGTCATATCAGATTACATCACTTCGATCAAGTGATGCTTTCCATGCCCATTCTACAATTAACGTTCTTGAAAGTATTCAAATACCATACACTAGATAAAGAAACATAAGGGAAATAAATATAAAATAAAAATAAAATAAAATAAAATAAAAAATAACAACATACAAATGAAAAAAACAACATACATTTATACAATAATCCTGGATAATATTTACTTAATATAATATATTATATTGTACAATATTCATACATGGGGGCTAAAACAAAACAAATAAAATTTACACATCAAAATATAAATAACTAAATACACATATTTGAAAACTTAAAGGACTAAACTAGAATTAATAGAAACTGAAAGGACCTAATAAAAAATATGAACAAATCAGAGCTCCAATAATCAAATTAAAATAAATAAAGGTACTAGAAATGAAAATAACCCAAAAATAATATAGAGGACTGAAATGAAATAAACAGAAACATAAAGGGATGAAACAATAATTACAACACCCACCAGAACCTTAATCGAAAATAACAAACAATAGGGATTGAAAACGAGAATAACCCACAAGTAACTAAGGACTAAATAAATTAAACAAAAATCTGAAAGGGAAAATAAATAATTAGACCAAAATGTATTCATAATACACAATGACTAAAACAAAAGAAAAATAGATTTCATGACCAAATTCGAACATTAAAGAAAATAACATAACGCAGGGTCAATGACTAAAATAAAATAATTACAAATACCATAGTCAAAGTCAAACATTGACAATAATAACAGAATAATTAAAAACAAGACTAAAATAAAAATAATGAAACAATAGTGCTCAAAATAAAATAAAACGAAATTTCATTAAATGGCTAATAAAAGAACATTACAAATGTGGGGGACCTAAACTACAATTTATCCTCAGAAATTAAAAAATAATAGGTGAGTTTACAAAATAGGAGGACTAAACAAGCTATTACCCCATTGTTTGAAAACACGAAGAGGGGAAGGTGCTAAAACGACACCGTTTCGTGTGGGTATTTAAACCCAACCCAAGGAAAATAATCTAATTCCCCCCATTTGGTTTCAGCCAAGAAAATGGAGAAAGAGAGTTGAGAACTCTCTCAACTTGCCCGTCGTCGAGAAAGGAAGTCGTCGTTCATCGGCGGTAGCCGCGACAGCTCACGATGGAGCCCACGATGGTTCACGGTGGCCAGAGGGATCAAATCATCCCAAAAGGCTCCTCTCACTCCCCACTCCCCACTCCCCAAATCTCCACCTATCTAGGCCTAAAAACACCCCCCACACGCCTAGATCTAAAAAAGAAAAACCAAAAGGTATACCTTACGCCGTCACTAGACCCACCGTTTGATGGGCCCACAGCCGAGGTATGTTGGCTTCCTCATTTCCACACACCTCTTTACCGTTGGGATTCATCGCCTGACCGTCGGAGCGGCCGTCATCGAAGACTTGAAGGTAATATTCCTTTTTTTTCTCGATATTTTCTGTTGTGGTCTCATTGCACTCATTTTTTTCTTTCTCCCTCGAATCCCCTTTAATATTTTTCTTTGCTCTTTTTTCGTTTCGAAAAATGCTCCTTAAATATCTTTGTTTTCTCCTCTTTCACCGAATGCCTGATATCTTCTCTGTCTTCCGTTTTTATGTTGCTTTAGTGATTGATTGATGTTTTTTATTTGATGCATGTTGATATCTGAAAAATCCCCTTGGGATTTTGAGTGATTTGTTCCTTATTTTTTATTTGGGTTCTGATATCTTGCACTGTAGGTGGTCACTGTTCGATGGATGAGTGTCACTATACGACCAGAGTTGTCGACAGCAATGGGGACAATCGGCGGCGGCAGCAAGGATTGGCGACAATAGTAGCTATAGTTAGGGTTTTAAAACCCTATTTGCCTCAAGTCGGGTGGCTGAGTAGGGTTGAATCCAGGTCGATGAGTGGTCTGGGTTGGGCTGTTGGGTTTTCACTTGGGTGCTGGGCTTGTTGAGTTGATGTAATTGGGCCCAACTTCGAGCCTACAAAAAATGTAAAACAAAATAATTATTAACAATATTAATAATAAAGATAATAATAATATAATTAATATTTTTTTCGAGATCCGGACAAAAACGGGTGTCTACACGATCTCAGCTTCAATATTAGATTTTATCTTCATATGATCTAATTGATAAATTTATTTAATAGTATGAGTCATACCTTTACCAGTCTAAGTAACAACCATTCCGAGTTAACTTAGCATTGGCTTAATAAGACCCTAAAGACTTCGAATAAGAAACTCTGGTGTCCCGACTATCAAAACCTTAAGTATATCATTGGCGCGAACCAACTTACCTCAGTAGTTAAAAGAATCGTTATTGTTCTTGGAGGTCATGGATTCAAGCACCAACGGTTGCAGCAAGGTGATTGAACGTTCATTGTCAAATGATTGACATTATTTAGAACAAATGCTACTTCGTAATCACCTTAGTTTAATAATATATATATATATATATATATATCATTGTCTTGAATTTCGATAAAACTCAAAATTAATAAGAACCCTAATTTTGTTCATCGCTAAAAGGAAGTTATAAGAGAGATTTCTTTGATAAAGTGTTTTGAAAACAAGCATGTGGGTGGAAAAATATAATCAAGAAAAAGTTTTACATTCTGATGTCTCAAGACAAAAAATCAATTTGTTGATTATTATTTTTTAGAAACGGTCAATTTTGCAAATATGGTGTAAAATATATAAAATTTGATGAAGATAAGTGAATGGATGATAACCTCTGATGTCTATTCATAGCTTTAGGAATGTTTGATTCTCACGAGTTGATGAACTGAGTGATTGTCACCAAATCAAAGGCCACTGCTGATGAGCATAGACCAAAATAAATCACCATTACTACAACATATGCAGGATCAGAAAATCTTTAAACACCTCATTTCTATGTATCTCTCTCCGGCATCACTTGCCAGAATCCGGATTTTGTAGAACGAAGAAGTGAAGCAAACCTGAAACAGTAAAACGGAAGTTGCTGTTGTTCAGTTATTCTCGCTCAAAGCTTGCCAATTTGGTCAGCTCTATATGGTGCTCCTGTATCCAGCTCATAATTAGCGAAAAATCCATTTCAGCCATGGACTTCGTGTCTTCTTTACCCAGGCGCCTCTGCTTTATCTTCAGGATTGCCTGTGTTACTTCACCCATTGAAGGCCGCTTCCTCGGTGATTTGTGCAAGCATTTATGAGCAATTTTAGCTAGCTGCCTCACTTTTTCAATATTGCATTCTCCAGCAAGTTGCTTATCAAGGATTTCATCTACACCATCTGGACTCATAGCGGCCTTATAAAGGAAACTTTATGTTACATAAATATTGATATATGAACTACAAACAACACTTTGACTACATATGAAGAAGAGACTCACAAGATTAACATATTCCATTAAGTTTTGGTGTGGGTGGATAGCTGTAATTAGCTCAAAGATGATAACACCGAAACTGTATACATCGCTCTTCATTGTGAACTTGTTTGTGGATATATACTCCGGGTCTATGTAGCCATATGTACCTTTAATGCCAGAGTTTCGGCCATCATAAACCTCTTCCTTTGACAGCACAAAATCAGCAACCTAGCAAAGGAACAGTTGTGAAGTCATAAAGTCATGCCATTTAGAGTCCATTATTGTTATCTTGGTTGTTTCAATAGGTTAAAAGGAGAAAAATCGAAAAAGGCAAGACATCGTATGGCTGCTCACCTTGGCTCTCATGGTCCAATAATATATTAGCAGGCTTCAAATCACGATGTTATTACTGGAGGGACTGCCTGTCCAAGAATGGCTGATATTAACTCAAATGACAAGTTGGAGAATACCAACTTTGAATCATTCCATCATTTACCCCTTCGTGAAGATATTCTATGCCATGTGAAATATCAAGAGAAATTTGAAATCTTTCGTCCCAATTCAGACCACGTTCCCCTTCACCTGATTACAAATAGATCAGGTCGGTTATTGTTAAGGAATGACAATATTAGCACCATGCCATTTATGGGTCCAAATAACATTAAAATCTTGATGGATTTAAAAGCTTGCTAGCTAGAAGCATCTGACAGAATTGAACTTGGCGCAAGAAGATAATAGTAGAACATTAACCATCAGAAGCAAGCTTATTTGTAGACACCAATTGTTGTCCGGGTCTACCAAAAAAATTAATCTATTATTATTACTACTACTACTATTATTATTATTATTATTAATTATTATTATTAATACATATTACATTTTTTTTGCAGGTTTAATACCGGAAGCCCAACAAGCCCCAACAGCCCATATACAAGGCCCAAACCCCAAAACCCATCAACCCAAGCTGTTGACCCAACAGCCAACAACCCAATATGAAATTGAGACCCAACCCAACCGGCCCAGGATCCGACCTAGTTACAAATGATCGGACTCGACCCGAAGCCCGAACCGTCCCAATAACCCTAAGCATATTAGGATTTCCATCTTAATCCCTTAACCCTAAAACAGCCGCCACCAACAACCCTTAGGCTTCCCCAGCCGTACGTGCACTCCACCATTCGTTCCCTGAGCCGCGTGAGCCGTCGCTGCTGGCTTCCCCAGCCGCCTGTCATTGCTGTCGCCGCCGCCGTCGTCTTCCCCTGCACTAACAGTGACACACCAATCCATCAAACAGTGACCCATAACCTATTCAAGTCAGAAAATCAGAAAATAATGAACCTACCCCATAGATGTTATCATCTCACCCAAAGAGACCATAAAAAATAACATGCAATCAAAGAGAGGATTTCAACAGAGGGATTCAGGGGGAAAAAGCTAGAGAAAGAAAAAAATGAGAGAATCATTCGGGGAGGAAAACCCATTCGAAAAACCAAAAAAATTAAGGGGATTAGAACAACCACAACCAAGAAAAAAACCATTCGAACCAAACACCAAAAGAACCAAAAAGAAAAAGAGAGAGGGAGGCTTTTTACCTTGGGTCCGCCGTGGAAGCCCCACGATCGTCATGTTTTCTATTTCATTCGAAAGGTAAATGGAAGATCTATGGGGCTAGGGTCACTTTTAGGTTGAGATGGCTTGGGATTTAGGTATAGGGTGGTGAGGAGAATGTTTTAGGGTGTTCAGTGTTGTGTCGGTCGCCGTGCGTCGCCGTGAGCACAGCCGGGGCTGCCGGCGGCGGCAGCGAAGTTTCTCTCTTCTGATGAGAGTTGAGAGTTTTAGAGCTCTCTTTCTCTTCTCATTTCAAAATGAAATCAAATGAAAGGCTTAGGTCATTTTTGGCCTTTAAAATACATTTATATATACTGGCAGCGTAACGATGTAGTTTCGTCTCCCAATCTCCATGTTTTTAAAGCTTTAGGGTTAATAGCATGTTTAGTCCCTGCCTTTTGTAAATCTTACCTGTATTTGTCATCGGGTTTAGGGGTAAATCCCACTTAGGGTCCTCATACTTTTGTAATTTTATTTTTCACTCAGTTAATAAAATTTATTTTATTTTATTTTGAGCACCTATGTTTCTATATTTATATTTTAGTCTTGTTATTATTTGTTATATTATCTTTGTTATTGTTTGACTTTGGCTATATTATTTGTAATAGTTACATTTTAGTCATTGGTTTGTGTGTTTTTGTATTTTGGCTGATGTTCGAATTAGACCCTGTGATTTATGTATTTTTCATTTTAGTTCTGTTTGGCATTTGGTTCAATTATTGTTTGGTCCTTTATGTTTCCATTCATTTTATTTTGGTCCCTAATATTATTTTTGAGTTATTTGCATTTATAGTACATATACTGTTTAATATTTTGTTCTTGGCTCTTGATTATTTTTATTTACTATTTTAGCCCCTTAAGTTTTTGTTATTGCTATTTTAATCCCTTAAATGTCTGTTTTTATTATTTTAGTCCTTTAATTTTTTTATTCACTATTATGGTCCTTTAACTTTCTCTATTTATGGTTTAGCCCTTTAACTTTTTGTTTTTTCTATTTGAATCCTTTAACTTTCTATTTTTATTATTTTAGTCATTTCAGTTTCTGTTTTTGTTGTTTTAGTCCTGTAAATTTCTATTATTACTATTTAGTCCCTTATTTTATTAAGCATGTCTAATTTTATTTGTATTTTAATTTATCATGTTTGTAAATGTATAATTTAGTCCCAAATTTGTAACTTTGTTTTATTGATCGTTTTAATTTCATGTATATATGTATAAAAATTGGAAAATTTCATGGTGTGGGGAATCTATGAAGACATCTCTCAACTACAAGGAAAGGTGTCTTTACGAAGATTTTTCGCATAAATGTTGTTATGTATTCGATATTTCTCTTTGTTCCACGATTATTTATTTTGAGTATATTTCATTGCTTTTCATTTTCAATTTTATTTTGTTTTGTTTTATTTTATTTTATTTTATCTTTATAAAAATTTGTGAAATGATATTTTTGTGAGGGTAATCTATGAAAAAGTCTCCTAACTGCAAAGGAAGTGCATTCCCGAAGATTGTTCACACAAAGGATCATTCGTTATCTGAAAGTTTACACTTTTTAAATAAATTCGAATGAATAAGAAGATCAAAATTTAAATATATTTTCGAGTTTATAATTCCCAATATTTAAACAATATATAATCATTTGAGTACCAAAATTTGGATGTTGTGGGGGTGTTCACCCTTCCCCACACGTAACTGACTCCCAAACTCTTAAAAATGAATCTTTGGTAAAACGCATACCATTTTTGACGTTTAAGGTTTCCATCCTACTTAACTTAATGGTTGGTGGCGACTCCAAAATTTAATCGTTTTCCAAATTAATTTCAAATCACCAAATTTTCAAAATAAATAATCATAACTGTTTTTTAAAATAATATTTAATTTTTTTGTAAAAAAATGGTTATGACATTATTATTGATAACATAAGATATTTTGGTCTATATTACTAGTTAAAACAGAAATGGGCAGTAACAGCAAGTCGTACGGGTGGCCACGATCCTAGACTAGAAACCACTGGAAAGAAAAGGTATGATTTTGCATAAATGTTCTAGGCCTCGTCTACAATTGACCATATAATACGAGAGCTGCAAAAAAAGAAGTGGCTCCCAAGCTTACCATATAGTAAGGTTGCCAAGCTTCCGTTGCTCATGAACTCATAAACCAACATGCATTTCCCTTTATCCACACAGTATCCTGCCAAGTTCACGAGGTTCCGGTGATGCAACCGTCCTAGTAGACAAATCTGAAAAAAAGCAAAAAGGGAAAAAGGTTTAATAGTAAAAATGCTAACCCAATATGTTTGTTACTAAAATATTCTCAGAAGTAATCTCATTCCACTCGTTCAAAGAATGGAATTGCAATGTTAGCATCTGTCCAGACAGAATTATCGGTTATATTAACCTACTTGTACTGGCTACTGAAAGGTAATCAGCGATACGTCAATGGACTTTTGCTAAAAATGCTTTCATACAAAACAAATTCAAATAATATTTTTTATTTCAATTAAAATAGACCAGTTCTTCATACAGTTGGATTAATCCAGGCAGTACCATTATGATAGAAAAAAAACTTCCAGGAAACTATACATTCCCAAGATTGTAGGACGCCTTCTTTTGCATGGTTAGTGCAGCTTACCTCAGCGTGGAACTCTTTCTCACCCTGGTGAGAATCAGAAGCAAGCACCTTCACAGCTGCTACGCCGCCAGTAGGCATTGAGCTTTATACACAGGACCAAATAATCCTTCTCCTAAAATAGTTGTACAATTTTGTGTAGCTTTCTGTACATCCCTGAAAAGTATAGTGAATGAGTTAAACATAATATCACAAACAAACATTGAACATTAATCATTTAGATTAAAATAGAAGGAGCAGTAAACTAAAATTCATATATCAATTTCATATCATTATAGGAAATGTGAAAATTGGTAAGCCTCTAAACAAGCATTGCCTTTGATACTCAAGTATAATGCGTATGCTCAATTTAGCGATGAACTTATAGGAATACTTTGGCAAGCCAATTGAATATTGGTAAACCTCAACACAAGAATTTCCTTTGATATTCTACTTAAGTATATCGTGTATGCTCAATTTAGCAATGAACTTACTTATAAGAATACTTTGGCAAGCCAGAAACAGAAGCAAATTGATCTTTAATACGAGGACTCCACCAAGAATTCGAAGAACTTTTCTTATGATATTCTGGTACCTCAACGGCTAAAGCACTCGAGAGAGATGCACTGAAGTCGGTGCTTGTACCAAAGCCATTTGATCTTATTGGAAGAACCGTAACACTACATGCATTTGAACATCTCAGTTTTGCATACTTTCTGTACCACCTTATCCCCAAAAATACCAGTGTAGCTATCAAGATACCAAGGGCCAAGCCAACGGAGTTGCCGATGAAAACTAAGTCAGCTTCATGAACCATGCTTTGGTCTCTTTAAGTATCTGGGCGATGAGAACATCTTGCAATGCACAAGTTCAGCAGGGTCACTGTCATAAGATGGGGAAAAAAAACATAATATCCAGTTCAAATTAGAAATCCTTTGATAGCCCTAATTATATTGAAGGCAATCAGGCGGGCAGACAAAGAGGAAACTGTAGCAAATAAAAGCCAAGCAAAATGATGAACAAAAACAATAACATTAAGACAAGGAAAACCTTAGGAAATACATACAAACACCATAATCAAACACTGTACAATAAAACTCGAATGTGAGAATTTATTGTTTGACATGAACTTTAACATCTATCTAGAAAGGCAGAATCAGGGGAAAATTGCAATAAATAATAGAATCAAACAAGATCCTATTCTTACCTTCAAAACCCCAAATCTTAGCTATTAGAAAGACTTGAAATCCTACATCATTAGTTGCAAAAATAGAAGAGGCACCCAAACTATGTTTTCCATTGCTGAACGGTTATGTCCATATAATTTCTTGACAGTTGAGACAACCAATCAAACAGTTTTCAACTATCAGCCACTACATATAGGGCACTGCCAAATCATTCTCCCCAGTTTTTTTAACAAACAAAAATTCTTCAGAAACAAAGTTGATAAATCCGAATATATAAACACAGATCATGAAAACCCATCACATATTAAATAGATTCTATCAAATTACTTATACATAATAAAAAAAACCCCAAAAGCTAATCGATACAAAGAAGAGAAAGATGGAAAGAACCCAAAGAGCATAAAACAGCCATAAAAAGAAAGAGTGAAATTTTAAGCAAAGATATGAAAAATTAGCAAACTAGGCCATGAACCCATACCTTATCGAGGGATGAAGAGTACGTGAACAGCCAAACCATGACAATTCCTTGCCTTGGGTTTTGTTGATTTGATGATCCTTTGAATGGTAGTCAAGACTCGGAGGTGACAAAAGTCAATAATGAAACCACCCAAAAAGAAAAACTGAAGTGGAGAAGAAAGAGTCTTGGTTGGAGGCTTTTTCAAGTTACAATCTATGAAAATGAATTTCCATTAATGGGGTGCTACCCCAATGTTATAATTAAAAAAAAAAACTGTTTAGCCTGTGTAAATGGGTTTAATTGATTGCTTAGTGATAAATCCGGTTTTTACAAAGTTTTCAATTTGCATTTAATTTCATTAACAATAAAGGATAGATTGACAGGGATGGTTTGGTACATTTGTCGCTAATTTTATTTTACTCGGTGGGATGAATGAACGAGTCAGATTTTAGTGCATAGATATTGCAGCTATATTATGCTTAATAAATATAAATATTTAATATATGATGTAAGTCTTAATACAATATTAGTAGTTTAGAAGATAATTGTTATATTTTGAAATTCTGGATTCGAGCGTCACCGATTATAGAACATTTGAATAATGATTGTCAAATGATTGAATCTTTAAGATACATACTCACTTATAATCATATTAGATTAATAAAAAATATAATTCATTTGAAAATTAAAGTCCTTAACTTGTGTTCGACCCGATTTAGTTTAAGAAGGTTCATTTGATTCAAAATTTGATTTGGTTTTTTGATTAAAATTTATAGCTAACTCGACATGATCTAAATAAGTGTATATAAAAATATTATTATCAGGTAAAATAATAATCTAGTTGAAAAATAAAATATTATTACAATTATCTTTAAACATATAAAAAATTATAATATTATGTTAAATCAAATCGAATTAAATATTTTTCATCATAAATTTAATTTGACTCACTCAATTCTATTTCAAATTTTTAAAATAAAAAATTAACACAATCGTACCGTATTAAATCAAAATTCATC